GTCATTTTGAAAATGTAATTTGTATTTTCATAAGTAATGATTAAGTTGTGGGCACGGTTACTAAATGTGCTGCATAGCTCCTAACGATTAGTACTGTGATTCTTACACATTCTATTCATCTTACACATATTTTTATAGAGGGTCTTTATGATATACACAAGTGGTTTTCCATCATTTTTTATTGGTGTTCCCTTCCAAATAAATAAATAAATAAATAGAAACAATAAAATGATTCCTAATGATGCCCTGCTATACTCATTGCTAGGTGGACTAGTCCATTGGTCATCAGAGAGGTTGCCTTTGGAATCTGATGGAAACAGATTCAGATACCCACAGCCAGAGATTAGTTGGAGAGAGAAAGCTCATGTTGGAGCGCTCTCTCTCTCTCTCTCTCTCTCTCTCTCTCTCTCTCTCTCTCTCCCTCAACCCCCGCCTTGGAGCCCAGGGAAGAGGGAGAGGAGGAATTGTGGGAGCCAGAGAGATCAAGGAGGACACTGGGAGAGCACAGCCCTCAGAATTAACTAAGCAGAGCTCATAGGGTCTCATGGAGACTGGCAATGAAGGAGACTATATGTGTTTGTGCCTGCGGGTTCCAAAGCCGGACGAGGGATAGTAGAACACTGTCCCTACCCTGGACAGCTCTCAGTGAGCACTGCAGGATGGGGCCACTCCTTACTCAAATTAGGCTTGGTCCTACTCTTTAATGGGGAGATGGAAGGGTGAAGCTGGTGGGGAAGGGAGGTGGAGGGGAGAATCTGGTCAGGGAGAACTGGGAGGAGTGGAGGGAGGTGAAGCTGTGGTTGTGATGTGTTGTATAAAAGGAGAATAATTTTTAAAAATCATAATAGTAATCTTGAATATTGTTTGTGGTGATGGCAATTTTGTTTTTGTTTTTTTCTATGAACTGCCCACTAATAGTCTTTGGCTGTTTTTCTATTGCCTTGTTTTTAAATTAGAAGTCTGTTCAGGAAGCTAGCCTAAGATGGCCACAAGTCCAGTGCTACACAGGCCTGGAGGGGCAGACTATGCCCATGATGAACCCTAGCCAGCACCATATGCACAAGTGGGGTATAGCACTCCTGAGACCACTCCTGAAATGACCCCAGACACTCAGAGACCCCAGATGCCACTAAAGAGGAGCAAGCAAATAGTTAAAAAAATGAAGAGAAAAAAGAAATGGAAGGATGTGGCCACAATGAAGAGAGGCAGAACTGGAGACTCCAGGGTAGTGAGGAGAGCAGCCTGATGTGAGGAGTTGGTGATGTCACTTGGGACTATGATGCAGTCCTGGCCTGTACTGCCACTCATCTAGGTTCATGGTCCTGCAGCAACGGGGTCTGTTACCAGGCCAGGCAGACTTCTATGGTCTGGGCTGCCACCCAGGGACTAGTGGATAACTGAGGGCTATGCAAAACTGGCCCCACCCCTCACCTGGGAATCAAGGAGAGCTGTCCCTCAGGGCATGAAAGCAAGAAAGTAGACCCTTCCTCTAGCCAGCTGTTGTACTTCAGAGAGTGGCCCTGCACGTTACAGGAGTTGTGGGTAAGCCAGTACCAAGGATAGCTGGTCCTACCACTGTCTTCAGTGTGGTAGCATGGACAAGGGAGAAATACCATCCTCCCCCATTCCCACCTATGACAGGTGGGAGACCTAGCCATTGTGTCACGAGAGCAGTAGCGCTGTCTCTGCTCCTCACTAGCTAAAACACTTATGTGAGCAGACCCTGAACCTTACCTGGACAGAACAGTAAAGCTGATCATTGTGGCAGGGGCAAGCTGACACCGCCACGTTTCCTTGTGGTGACACTAGTGAAGGAAAGATGACTCCCTCCTTTTCCCCTATCACCTAGCTGGTCCTAAAGTCACCAGAGTGGGAGATCTGGTCCTGTTCCTCACCTGCTACAGCATTCAGGAGAGTAGGCCCTTCACCTCACCTGGGCAGTGTAGTATAGCTGGTCCAACTTGTGGGAACTGTGGGTGAGCTGGTTCTGAGCTTGTGAGTATGAAAGAGCCAGCCCTGCCGCTTTGTCTTTGAAAGACACCCTCCTCCCCTCCTTTATCCCTTGTCATCTATGGCAGGGAGGTGAACTGGCCCCAGGGTCATGAGTGAGAGAGCTGGCCCTGTCCCTCACTGTCTACATCACTCAGGAAGCAGGTCCTGTACCTCATCTGGGCAGCAGGATAGAGCTGGCACTGGCGGTAGAGGATTCTAGTGAGCTGGCCCTGAAGGCATGAGGGCTGGAGAGCCAGCAGGCTGACCTGCTCAGAGACTTCTCAGGCCCAGATCCAGGGCTTTGAATTGGCCCAGCACAACATCTACTCCATAGATGAACTGCTGGTGCTATGAAGGGTCCAGTCCTACAGATACAAAATTACAGGATCTCCATAACACAAGGCAACAACAGGACTCCAAAAGGAGTCCTAGTGAGGGTCCAGTAGCCAGAAGCCAGAACTCTCTACCAGATCAAGTCATTACAGTGAACATTTGCAAGCAAGTAAGTGTAGACAAAAGGGTATACTATGGGACACACTGACACACTACAACTTCCATGAGGAGATTTTTTTTTCTCTGATGTGAGGGAGAATATTGACAGCTCCAGCACTGCCACAGTACCGAGCTCGGGCGTAGGCCTGGGGGATTAAAGGAAGGCACAGACTTGGGTCATATGCTCTGAGAGAATGTCAAAGCTTTTACTGAGCAGGTTCAATATATACACCAAGCCGAGGAAGGAAAAACACAAACAGGAACTCAACTGGGGGCAATGGGATGTCAAGTGTAAATTCCCTTCCTGGGGCACCATGCCTACATCAGGATGTTTTGATCTTAGAAAAACTGCAGAATGTTACTTAGTAGACAGCAGCACACAGAAAGTCTCAGCCAGGGCATGGCCGCCCTTTGGGGTCCTACAGGTATAAGGGTAGAAACTAGGTCCAAGGGGAGGGAGAGATGAGTGGGATTGGTGTATATGATGTGAAAGAAACAACAAAAGGTTTACAAAAAATAGTCCACTAGCGCCACCTTTACATTATAAATACTTTCTCTATAACAGATTATTTGATTCAAAATTCAAAGATCAAAAATAGAACATGGGTCAGTGAGTTCAGTGGATATGATCCTTGCCACCAAGCCTGAGAAAATGAGTTTAGTCTGAAGAACCAAAATATGCAGTTGTCCTCTGATGTCCTACATACACACTGTGGCACGTAGCCATGAGCATCCATACACACAGAGAGAGACATATAAACAAAATAATGTAAAATGTTTATAAAAGATAGATAAGAACAGTAGAAAATAAAAGATATAGAATTTTTATCATTCATTAAACTTAAAAATTTAAATAGATATGTGTGTATACATATATACATGTATACTAATCATACATATCCATGTATGATTAGTGTTTAAATATGTCCCTTAAGAGTTACATGTTGAAACTAACTCCTAATATAATTGGGGAGTGAGTTAAAATAGGCTCATAGGTATAATTTGAATACTTGGTCTCCAGTTGGTGGAACTGTTCTCATGCACTTCCATCTTTCTCTTAGAAAGGAACTGTAGTATCAAAGGTCCAGGGATTTAGAAACTAAGAGGCAGCTTGGGTAAGGCCTGCAGTACAGTGAAAAGAACATTTGTCAAACTTATCCATTATAGCATGATATCCAACATTCCACAGAAATTTTAAAATTCTTCCTAGTAAAGTGGAGACAGGCAGCAGAATCTTCTTGTTGCAAACTCAGAAACAGTTCTGTATATTTTGTCCTTATGATATGGGAATCAACAGTGATTTAGCTCAGTATTTATTATGTGGCAAGTCTTGGCCAATATTGTTAACCTTCCACCCCATGTATTGTCCTCTTGTAATGGTAATCACACAAGTTTGTAATGTAGTGATTACCACACCAATTCCTTGAGAAGCCAAGGCTCAGGAAGGTTAAGCAGATTTCCCACATTCATACAGCTGGGTACATCAATGTAAGGGTAAATTGCAAACAAGATTCTTATTTTCAGGCCATTCTTTCCTCCATACCCATTAGAAACTCGGCACATAGGATAGGACACTAATTAAAAAGAGCATCCCCTTCGGCTCCTTCAGTCCTTCCCCTAACTCTTCCATTGCAGTCCGCAGGCTCTGTCTTATGGTTAGCTGTATCTTTGGAGGGCCGGGAAGGGGGACAACATTAGAAATGTAAACAAATAAAATAACCCTAAAAAGAGCATCCCACAAAGTTGTATTCATAATATGACCCAAGCTATTTTAAAATAGCATGTGGTTTGAAAATTGATTCAAAAACCACTAATAGATCACCTAGTTTGGGGAGACTGTAATAACCATGATAATAATAGATAAAATCAAAGTGCTTACTACATGGTGGGTATACTGTTAGGGACTTTACATAAAATTCCTTATTAAGTCCTCAGTACAACAACTCAAATCCATACAATTATTTTTTGAGAAGAGAAAAATGATAAAATAATTTGTCCAAATTCCAAAGGTTGTTAGTTCTAGACTCACACTGAAATTCAATATCCAAAGACTTCTCATATAACAATAATTTTCTAGAGTTTCTCATGAGTAAGTGAATGTGTACTTATATTTTAATCAGATTAAAAAGTAAATATTAAAATTAAATAAGACCTGACCTTCCTACACTATGTGACTATGCAGCAAAACATGAGAACCTGATACAACCCAGCAGTGGATCCATGAAAAGGTTGAGGTGGGCTGTAAGGCCTTTTATTCTTAATCAGGACAAGTGTCTTCAGGGCCACACTGTCCTGCAGTCACCTTCTCCAGGCAGAAGAAGCATACTTCTCCATCATGGCCTTCAAGGCACCAGACCAGAAATATGACCACTGTTGGACAGACCTGACCTCCTCTGTTTTTTCAGAGACACTGATTTCCTATCTCTTTCAGTTCCACCCCCTTCTGGTTACCTACAATGATCACCTGCAAATGGCGTTCTAAGAATGATACGCAAAGCCATAAAACTCACAGTTACCATTTCAAAACTGAAGGCAAGGCTGCCAGCATAGTTTACAGTTGACCAGCTGGTGTGCTCCTACCTATCTCCTAAGTCCAGGACCATACACTGACAGAGGCCTGGATCCTCTTGGCTCTGTGGATTTCCACATTCATGCGTGTGTTCCATTAGCAGATACTGGGCTGGGTTTCCCCTAGTCACTCTGCTCCTGGCTCCCTCTTGACCATGCCAAAGGTCACATGTTCTGCTGAGCTCACTGGACTGTCCAGATAAACTTGATACTGCCCTTCAGACCAAGCAACACTGATAGCTGAACCTCGGAGCCCTGCTGCCAAAACACTGGTATACAATTGTGTGGCCTTCCACTTTCTTCTTCTGAAGGTCTCCCTGGTCCATCTGGATCCCATGTGTGGCAGGCTGGGTGGAGAAGTATACAGAACAAGGGAAGCCTAAGTAAATTAAAAATCTTCCACAGATTTTATTCCTTGATGACTAGAACCTCCCTTGGGCTTACTTCAGTGAAGCTATAGTGTATACACAGTCCTCTAAGAAACTTCCTTAGAACAGTATGTTGTCATTTGAGAAGCCAATATGTTACAGAGTAGCCTGTCTAGGGAGTGTCTCAAACTAGGGAACTTTGAAAGACTCTGCCTTCATCTCATTTATTGGATATTCACAATTCACATTAATGTCTGCAAGATTCTGGGAAAGACTGTAGTAAAGAAATGTACTTGACAGGCTTTCATTCAGTGAGTCTCAAACTTATGAGATCAACTCCCTTTTCCTCAGAAAGACCTAGAACACACTGCATGCCAGTGTTCACATACCCTATCTAGAGAATACTGGTGTCCGAGAGTAGGTAAATCGGAGTTCTGGCAGCGGAACTACACTTTCAACCAGACATATGTAAATCACTTCATCAACCAGAACCTCCATTTCTTTCTCTATAGTGTTCCTCTATAATGAACACCATTTGTATTTATTTTATTTAGTTTCATTTTATTTTATTTTATTTTATTTTATTTTATTTTATTTTATTTTAT